TTTTGTTCACCCAAAAATGAGATTTCAGTTATTGAACAGACAAACCAGTTTTGCAGTATTCATGATCAAGGACTCCTTCTTTGGAGTTCAGAGGTTATGATTCTGAAACCACTGAGCTAATTTTGTCTGATCATTTTCTTCTTTCCTTTCCTCTTGCTTCTTCTTTGCTTTGCTTTGTTTTCTTACCATTTAACTTCTCCTTGCACAATTTCTTCTTGAACAAGATTGTGCCTCCTTGGAATTAGAATGAAGCACAAATTCAAGTACCTTTGTGCCATTCCATTTTTGTTTTGTTTCAGTTTTGTTTTTTTGATAAATTGGTATTATAGACAGCAGGGAAATTATCATACAAGCCCCATTCTTGCTGCAATAGCACTAGTTAAAGTCAATCATGCAAGGGGACTCTCTTCTGCACTCTCCTTTAACTTTGACTCCTACCCTGTACCCTACCCAGTATGCTAAGTTCTGCTAAGTTTTTAAAAAAGAAAAGAAACAGACAAAAAATAAAGGACATCAGGCTTCTTAGGAATGGCATGGGGAAGCGGGGAGAGTAGATTTGCCATATTCCAGTCCCTCATATGTGAGCATCTAATTTGCATATTATGCAAATTATTATAATCATGCATATTATTAATTTGCATCCTGATTATGCAGATTCAACATGTTAATCACTGCACTTTTTCTAGCATTATGTTTCAGCCTCAGTACCAGTAGGGAGCTAAGAGCTCTCCTTCCCCTTCTTTCTCCCCCCCCCAACCTGGCGTGAAGAGAGGAAGGCTTCCATGAAGCTTCAGAGAATAAAGGGGCAGTGAAGTTCTGTGCTGTCTAACCCTAGGCTCAAGCCACTGTCACAGGAGATTATCGCATTACCTATTGCTCCTGGCATAGATGTAGGATATCTCTTTAAGAAGACAAATCTGATTGCATAAACCCATCGCTGGGCAGCAGGCAGCTCGTATGCAAGCTGGGCTTCTGAAAGAACGGGAAAATCCTGTTCATGAAAAGATGCAGGATAAGCATGGCTTGCATATGGACTGCCTGCTGCCCGGTGACAGGTGAATGTGATAAGATCCGCCTCCTTAAAGTTACATCTTGCATCTATGCTGAGAGCAATATGTAATGCGATAATCTCCAATATCATCACACAACACAAGGCAATCTCTACTTGCCTCCTTTCATCGTCTGCCTTCTGGTCCTGTTGGAGGAAGGGGGAAGGTAATGGTAGAATAAGGTGGTAATGCTACATCAGTACAGCAGCAACCGGAGCCTGCAGGATGAAATGAGGCTCCTACCAGTGCCAGTCTTGCATGGTTTCCTGCTTCATTGCCACTGTTGCATTTTACTCAGTGGCCTGTGATGAAGGAGAAACCTGGAATTTACTGTTTCAAACTGGCCCAGCTGGCCAGGACATTTTTTTAGTCCCTTCAGTCTGGGATTTTCCAGGTTTTCCAGGACAGATGGCAACCCTAGGGGAAAGGAGGAGACTGTGACACCACGTAACTACCAATATTGAAGCTGCTGTAGCAGCAATGTTTTGCACATGAGAACTAATGGGACTGCAGTGTGACTGGGAGCTTATTGATGGGTTTTCCCATCAATGAAAAGGGATGCCCCAACTATGATTGTGCATGTGCAGTCTGGAGGCAACATCATGTGATAAGTATCACAAAAGGTGCTATTTTGTTACTATAATTGTGGGTTTAAAAACTATGTGTGATAATCTCTTAAGTGTCATAACAAAGATTTGAAGAATTACATTATGATATTGGCAGTTTTACTTTTGATCCCTTTCCTAATAATCTCAGCAGAAATTGAATTTTTCAGATTTGGGTCAATGTTTTTGTTGAGCCATTCACCACAATACCAAGATCTCTTTCCTGGATACTTACTGTCAGCTCAGTCCCCATGGAACTTTGTTTGAGTTTGGGAATTTTTTTGCTGAATAAGCATCTCTCTTCCCACTTACACCGAGTTGCATTTGCCATTTTATTGCCCATTTACTCAGTCTGGGGAGATTCTTTTGGGAGGCTTTGCAATCTCTTTTTGTTTGCACTGCTGCAATCCAGACCCCACCTTAACAATCAATTTTCATTAAAGGCTGGTTGGCTGCTGGGCAAGTGATATGAGCACACATACTGTTGCTGTAATTATGGCCACAGCAGCCAAGTTAGCTATTTAAATTTCAAATTCCAACTTTTGAAAAAGAAGAGTGAAAGATAAAGTAATGATGGTATTCCTACCAGATTTCTGCAAGAATTATGTAGTATGGTTGTCTAGGTTGCATCTGAGGAAATAACCACTGGCTCTTTTACAAAGGAAAGGAATATCTTTTGAGAATGCACTGAAATATTTCCATAGTGACACAGTGCTGAACTACATGTTATGCTCAGTGCCTAATGGGCAGATGAGACTGCCTATTCTTATTTATGCCCAGCTATGGAAATCCACTGGGTGATCTTGGGCAGATCACACTCTCTCAGCCTCAAAGGAAGGCAAAGCTCTGGACAAAAGTTGCCAAGAAAAAAACTTGCCAAGAAATCCCTATGATAGTGTCACCTTAGGGTCACTATAAGCTGAAAATGGTTTAAAGGCACACAGTAATAAAGCACAAGCCAAATAGAGATCAAGCCCACCACACCTGAGTAAGGATGTTAAACCACTTCCCCCAATCTGTCCCATCCAAGGTATGGGGCAAAAAATAGAGAAGGAGGGACATCCATTTGGCATCAATTAGGTTTTTCTCTCATATGTATGAATGGGAAGGAAGTGTGTAGGAGGAAGATTTAATACTCCTGTATTGTATGCAATCTATATATGGGACCTGCCTGCTGTCTTGGAAACAAAAAAGAAAGCCTGTTTCAACAGCACACAACACATTTAATGTAACATTGGTTTTAACTATGCTCTTTTAAACTTATATTTTAAAGTTGGTAATATTTAATTATCTTTTAACTTTTGTAATCAATGTTTTAGGTCATTCTTTTTAAATTATTGTAACCTGCCTTGAATCCCATTGTGGGAGAGTGGGAGAAAGGTGGGATATAAATCCTTGAAATAAATAAACAAACAAACATATAGCTAGATTCTAATTTAGACCTTTCCCCAAGCTCTCTCCCTCTGCTAGGCTTATTTGGTAGGTTTGGCTCTGAGCAAACACTTTTTATTTGGCAGAGGATTGGCAAATAACACTCCAGGAGATGACATAATTATCCCTGCTGTGAAAAATAAAAAAGTAGCCATGCTTTCTCCTTCTGCGTCCCCACCCTCTAGCTATAGCATTGTATTTCATTGTTACTCATGCTTTTCCACAAATTATCTGGAACTGATGTGAAGCTAGCCGTTTGTAATTTCTTCAATCTCTCCTGTATCTCATCTTCATTAGCAATGGTATAGCCAGGTCTGGTCCTGGGGGCCAAAGTCCTGGGATCCACAGTCCAGAGGGCCCCTCAATGGCCATCCAGAGATCACCCAAAAAGTGGGAGCTGATGGAGACAGTGGCATGACCTGTTTTGGCACAGGCAGGGCAGGGCAGGGCAGGGCAGAGAGTTGGAGGGCTCACCTTGCTCTCTCTAATATTTGTTTTATTTCTTATTTTTAAACACATTTTACATTCAACCTGAGCAGCCAGGCTGTTACCAGGTATGCTTTCAGAGCACTCATACGTATTCTGAATCAATATACGTTTAAGGAATCTTTTGACAGTAGTACAACTGCAGCAGGTTGAACTCAAGAACCCACTTTCACACATCTGAAGAGAAATTTTATAAAGCTCTCTAGAATCAAAATGTAGATATGAATTTCAATTGAGGAATGGCAGTTATTATGGCAGAGCTACATAAATGGCAAACAGTGTGTGCTTACACCAAATAACTAGTTATGAGCAAATGTTGCTGCAAGATGAGAAATGTTAATTTGCAAGGTTGAGTGGGTTTGGGGCTAATTTTGTTTGTTTGTTTAATATCCTGCCTTTCTCATAAAACAGGACTCAGAGGAAGGGTTGATAAGAGGGAGAGAGAGAGAACAGGAACAGAAAAGATCTTTTTTTCTAAGGACTTTATCATACCTCATTGCCCTCCCCATCCCACCCAAGCTGCCTGGCACACCATCCTGCCCTCCCACCAGCTGTGGCCACTGGTGGGCATGGGTTGCTGCCACCCTGCACCCCTTTTCCCCACCCCACCCTCACTGCAATGGGCTTGCCACAGCTGCCTTCTTTTCAGGCTTCTCCACAGCCTAGGCTCCATTGGCCGTGAGAACTCAAGGCAGTAGGGAAGAACAGGTAGGTACCAGAGGCTGCGGTGAACTTACAACTGGCTTGCTGTGCCACTAGCACTTTCCTGTTCAGACTTCTCCATTGCTTTGGCTCTCTTGACCAAGAGAGCCAAGGCAGCAGTGGCCAGTTGGGAAAGAGAGGTGATGATGTCAGGAAGAGGAAGGGACCATGGTACTGCTGCTGTTGCTTCTGGCTCTTCCCTTTCCTGGCCATCCAGCAACCACAGCGGACAGAGGGCCCAACCGGGTGTCACACAACCCAAAGTGTCACCTGATGTGGTCTGCACCCCCTCCCCTTAGTGATGTCCCTGCCTTCTAGATATGTTGGAGTCTTCTTCAATAATTGCACAGTCCATTTTAGTCCGTTTTAGACATCTGGGATTACATTCAGTCCTGTCATGAAGCAGAATATTGCTACTGCCTCAGGTGTGGGTGGATAGGATGGACGAGATGTTGGAGGACAGATCTGGGTGTGAAAGACGAGACTGTTTTCTTGCCAGTGCCAAAGCTGCTAATCTGTACATGGAATGGGACTGGGTGACATCCCCTCCATTGCCTCTGGTGGCAAAAATGTCTCGTTCCAGTCCTGGCTGGAAGATATGCTGATGAAAGAAGCTCCTATTTTATGTCCTTACTGCTTCCATGGAATTGAAGTGAATCTCTCTTTCTCTGCCTACAAGTTGCCTGTCAGCTTATGGTGTCTCTGTGAATTCTTTTTTTTAAAGAGAGCTGGCATGGCATAGTGATTTGAATGTTAGACTGCAACTTTGGAGACCAGGGTTCAATTCCCTACTTGGGCATGAAACCCGCTGGGTGACCTTGGGCAAGTCACATGCTTCAGCCTCAGGGGAAAGCAATGACACTCCCTCTGCACAAATTTCTGCACAAGAAAATGCCATGATAGGTTTTTCTTAGGATTGCCATAAATTGAGGAAAAGGCTCATAACAAAACTGGCTCAAAGTTCAGCAATGTTCATTATTTTCATGATTATGAGACGTGATTCAGCATTAAGGTATTCTATCCCTTGCTTTGTTCTCTAACCAACAGGAGTCAGTACCAGTGTGGTGTAGTGGTTTGAGCCTTGTACAGTGCCTCTGGAGAACAGGGTTCGAATCTCTGCTCAGTCACAAAATTCTTCTGGGTTGACCTTGGGCTCTCTCAGCCTTAGAGGATGGCAATGGCAACTTCGATCTGAATAAACTTGCCAAGAAAACCCTGTGATAAGTTCACCTTAGGGTTGCCATAAGTCAGAAAGAACTTGAAGGCAAACAACACCACACCACCATCCTTGCTTTCTTCTCTAATCAACAGGAAACAGGGCACTTTGGGAAATGACAAGTCTTTCCAGACCTAGGACTTTATCACACGGTGAAAAAAAGACAGGAGCATAGTGCTATGTGCCTGTCAATATTGTGCAATAATGTGATGATTTTCACATAACATCATGTGACATTGCCATTATTGTGTGATTGTCCCATGAATAAAGCAGCAAAATCGCACCCCTTTTTATTCATAGGATAATCATGCACTAATGGCAATGTTGTGTGAAACTCTTATTGCGCGATATTGACAGGAGCATAGCGCTATTGCTCCTGTCTTTCCCCCCCCCCCCCGTGTGATAAAGTCTTTAGACCAAAGAGCTGACACTACTGCTATACTTCTTGTTCTCTCTCTCTCTTGTCCCTCCCTGACAACATGCGACCTGTATACAGGACAACCCAGAGGTCCTCCTTTTCCAGGACATGTCCTATATTTCAATCTTCTGTCCAGGAGGAGTTCCAAATTGTCCTCCATTTTCAGCATTACAAAGAAGCATGGATTTACACTTATGTGTGTGCTTTAAGCTTTTCTTTGATCATATCCTGCATTTTTTCTGGAATATACCCTATTATGCAGTGCCTTGTCCTCCTTTGGGGTGACGACCTATGGTCACCCTGGGTCCGTATGGAAGAGAAAGCCCAGACAGGTCTAATTGCCAAACCAAGGCATGTCATATTGAGGATGGAGCAAGCTTTTTTTCTATTGTTCCAGAGACAATAGCACATGGAGCAATGGATTCAAGCTACAAGACAGAGGGCAACCAAAATGGTGAAGTGTCTGAAAACCATCCTTTATGAGGAGCAACTTAGGGAGCTGGGTATGTTTAGCCTGGAGAAGAGAAGTGAAGAGATGATATGATGGTCCTGTTTAAATATTGGAAGGGGTATCATATTGAGGATGGAGCAAGCTTGTTTTCTGCTGCTCTAGAGAACAGGATACGGAGCAATGGATGAAAACTACTGGAAAAAAGATTTCCCCCAAACATTAGGAATAACTTCCTGACAGTAAGAGCTGTTGGACAGAGGAATACACTGCCTGGGAGTGTGGTGGAGTCTCCTTCTTTGGTAGTTTTTAGACAGAGGCTGGATGGCCATCTGTTGGGGTGCTTTGATAGTGTATTCTTGCATGGCAGAAGGGGGTTGGACTGGATGACACTTGGGGTCTCTTCCAATTCTATTAGGACTTTATCACATGGAGGAAAATTGGAAGTTTAAACAGGGATTATCCTGTTACAATGCTCAATTAGTATTAAATCGCAATTAAGATTTTCAGACACAGTGTGATAAAAGAACCATTATCCCAGGAATAAACAGGCAATAAACAGCAAGAAAGCATTTTGGGGATTTTTCCCGTGAATTATTTGTTGCTGTTTATTGCCTGGTTATTCACCGGTTAATGGTACTTTAATTGCTTTTCAAAAGCTTTATCACAACTGCAGGATATTCAGGGGATATCTCTAGGATACTGGCCATTTAATCTAGTTGCACTGGAGGAATGAGAGATTCCTAGAGAGGCGTTTTTTCAGGGAAAACATAGTGTTTTTGTTATTTATGGTTTTTCCATATTCACAGGAGTCTTGTGCCCCTAACCCCAACGAATGTGGAGGAACAAGTGTACTAACCTCTAAGGATAGAGATAGAGCTGGAAAAGGTTGGAATGGAAGAGAACTTAATGGTATAGAAGGAAATACAATAGTATAAGTACTGAAATATTGAGACTAATTAAGACATTCCTCCTCATCTTGAAATGTCTGGATATATTAATAATAATAATAGTATTAATAATAACACTAACGTTTATTTATATCCCGCCTCTCTGTAAAATACAACTGGGGCAGCTTACACAATAAAACGAACAATCCCATCCCCCAATAGCTCCCCCAAAATACAATCAAACAATCGAAGTTTAAAAATATACTTAAAATAACAAACCACAATAAATTACAATATTTGGAATATATGGTTTGATGGCTTGATATAGTAAGACTTTTCAGCAATAAGTGCTTAATATGTATCAAAAGTATGGATTAAATATTGAATGAATGTATATTGTAAGTTTTAATCAAAAAAATGTAAAAAAAAAAAAGCCAATGTGGAGGGACAAATGTATGGCAATAATCTTCTGCTGTTTTTTTCTATCTCTTTAGATCATAGAATCATAGAATCATAGAGTTGGAAGAGACCACAAGGGCCATCCAGTCCAACCCCCTGACATGCAGGAACTCCCAATCAAAGCATCCCCGACAGATGGCCATCCAGCCTCTACTTAAAGACCTCCAAGGAAGGATACTCCACTACAGTCTTCGAGGGAGTGTTTTGTTTGAGAGTGGAGGTTTTTAAACAGAGGCTGGACGGCCCTCTGTTGGGGGTGCTTTGATTGTGAGTTCCTGCATGACAGAATGGGGCTGGACTGGATGACCCTTGGGGATCCCTTCCACCTCTATGATTCATTTCTGCCTCCCATAAGCAGGAGCCCCACTGTCAGGGAGCAGAGCCAACCCTGTGAGGTGAAGGGAGGACGGCTTGAGGGATTTATTTGGCAGGAGAAAAAAGTTTGGGAGGCTGAGGTTTAGAGAGAGAAGGAACAACTGGAGAAGAGAAGAGTTGCTGCTCCTCCTCAGACCTTCGCCTGAGGGTTTATTACTACTCCTACTCCTACTCCTACTACTACTCCTACAGACTCTTCCCTGCCTCACTTTTTACAGCCCCCAACTCGTGAAAAAGGCGGGAGAAAAGGGAGGGTGGGTTGAGTTGGGGGGCTGGCGAGGCAAACTTTCTTTCTTTCTTTCCTTCTTTCCCAAACTGTGCAGAAAAAGAGAGAAAGAGGAGAGGCAGAGGTTGGTCGTGGGAGTCCAAGGCGGTCAGGACGGTGGAGGCTTCCAAACTTTTTTGGAGGCAACTGACCCAAAGAGAGAGAGAGAGAGAAAGAAAGAAAGAGAGCAAGAAAGAGAGAAAGAGAGGAGAGAGGAAGGCTGGTGCTCCATCCCTCTTCCATCCTTCCAAAAGTGCCAGCCTTCTCCAGGGCGCTCAGAGTGAAAGGAGTGCTGTGCAACAGAGGAAAACTTTATTTTTATTTCTATATATATATATATATTCCCTCGCCAGCGCCTGAAAGTTTTTCCTATGTGGCTGCCTTGTCGTGTACCAACATGAAAGGTAAGCCAGAGACAGGACTTAATATAGGGGTGTTTAGGTTGGGAAGGAGCTGGAGTGTCATTGTGCGACCTCCATACTGCAGAAATAATCCGCTTTGACGCCGCTTTAAATTTCCTTGGGTCAATGCTATGGAATTCTGGGAATTGTAGTTTGTTGTGGGCCCTCAGTGTGTCGCTGAGGGTTAAGGCAAACATTTTTACAAATGAACTTGTGTGTGTGTGTGTGTGTACTTAGGTTTCAAACTGAAGCTGCTGCATTCAAAGCTGGGCTTTAGTCCATTAAGGATGAAAGCTGCCATTTGTTTGGAAGAAAAATCTTGAGTTACAGCTGTTTACAGGTCTCTTTTTTGGGGGGGGGG